CCAGGGAGTGGGAGTGGGACTTGGTGCCAGAACTGCTTTTATTTCTGGACAAGCTGTGAATGCTGTTTTGCTGAGAAGGTAAACTAGTAAAATAAACCCATGTATTTTGTCCTTTCAGAGTCTAAGCCTTTTCAATCTGATTCCCAGGGTGGCAGGTTTCAGTCTGTTCCCCAATTTATTAATTCAATTTCTTCAGGATGGATCTTCCCATGGGAGTATTGTGAGGAGTTCTACATGTGCTCACTCTTTGCTTGGGATGCAGCTTTAGTGGGTCCTGTGAGGTCTTGATCCATAATGAGTCATTTGACCCCTCTCATATTTTGTCTTGGAGAAGGGAAGTATCACACAGACATCCTTTTAAGGAGCCAGCATGATCCGTTGGTGACAAAAAGGAAGACAGCGGAGAAGCTGTGGCTCTTAAAACCTCTATGTGATTTTTATTTTTTTAAGAAGAGGACATTTGCTCTCAGGATCTCTGAATTATTTCAGTCTGTAAATGCAACTTTTAGGTTCAAGTAGTTAAATGTGCTTTTTCCTCTTCTCTCCCACCAAGTTGTAGTGCTTGAACAGTGGAAATACTGTGTTTTCCCCAGAGGCAAATAGAATCTTGTGATGGACGAAGTATCTGGGAAACATTGGGATGAAAAAGAAGTTTAGGAATTACATGGCATAATTTACAAATAAAATTCCCAAGATGTTTCTTAATCTTACAAAGGAATTGTTTGCTCCTTTCCCTCCCAACCCAATGATTCATTTACTTTTGGAGTTAGTTCTGTAGGTATGTACTGTGTTGTAATGCTTATTGAGAATATGCAGCTGAAGTTATACTATTCAGACTGAAATTACTAGGGAAAAGCAATGATAATAATATAATGATCTGATTGACTACAGTGCTGTTTGTAGCATCTGGCTGTCAGATTTCTATTTGCTTGTCTCATATGAGCATTCTGACAATTAATCAATATTGAAATGCTGCTCTGGATGTGTGAAGCATTGAACAGAGTAAGTGCCAACACGACCATATGCCTTTTGGCAGAACTGGATGGACTCAAAGAAAGAATGTTTGGCTTTTTAAGTTGTACAGATTTCCACTGGGTATTATTTTTTTCTCAGAAAGTTAGAAACTAATAACGAAGTAATATTTTTTGAGGGCTATGAGCAAGACCCTTTTTGCTGTTGTTGGTACACACATTCAGAGAAAGCACTAACGTTGCACGTTCAGGCCATTCATTTTTATCTAGGTTGACAACATACTCACAAATTTTCTGCAGCTTGCAGTAAAATACTGGCTAATGTGCACTGCTTATTGACTTGGAAATCCTCTTGTGTGCTCCCAAGGGAAGTCTTGCTCTTCCGTCTACTATTTGTCTTAGAAATTGCATTGGAATAAGAAGACTGAAATTTCCTATTTATTCACAAACCAGCCAAAAATGGGCAGTAACAGCAGAAACTGTCCCAAAATTGCCCAAGTAGTTCAGGTGCTGTCAGCATAATTCAGTCTGTAGCAGTCCAGCACTGCCAGTTTTTGCATATTGCTGGTCAAATTTACTTTAGCACTAGTTGCAGAGGAGAGTTGTGTGGAACTTCCCCACCCCCCACCAATGTTTTGGGGTGAGTTTGAAAAAAAAAAAAAAAAAAGGCAATTCTTGGCCCTGTTCTGCCTTGGCAATCCCATCCAGTTTTCCCTTTAATGTTTTCCACATATGGTTGTGAAATCCAGTGTCTGACTTCTTTTCTAAATATAGAATCATAATTCTTTTTAAAATTACTGATGCAACAAGTCTCATTTGTTTTTAAGACCTTTCCTTCTCCTTCTGCAATATAGTGAAGTATTGAGTGTTCTTGTGTTGTCCATTCCCCACAGTCACTTTTGAAAACATTTTATTCTTTATGTTTTACTGCATATTGAGAAGTATCTCCTTTCCAGTTTTGAAGCAAAAAGCACGGTAGCAAAGGCCACATTCCTTTGGCAGTGGAAGAGTAGCCAGGCATGAGTAGCCCCAGTATTAGCCCAGAGCTTGTTTTTTACACCACTGTGCTTGGTTCTTCAGTAGCATTGGTAGAACAAAAGCAGTGGTAGTAGTAGTTGTAGTAGCAAAGCAGAGACTTACTGATTTCTCAGCTGAATTTTAAGTATTTCTCTCTTACACTGCACTACCCAGGTGCAATTTCTTCATGTGCTCCTGCATTATTGAAGTGGTCAAATGAAATTAACTTTAAATGAATGACTTAATTCTCTTTTGTGGTGCAAGATTTTGTCTCAGCAGTGAAAAGTGACTGAATGTAAGTCTAGATTGTGCAAAAGCAAGTAAAGTGAATGAGTTTTATTTCCTCTGCTCCCCACAAATATTCGTGTGCTTTTTATCTACACAAAAAGCAGGAAACAGCCTGTGATTTTAGTAATATGCTTAGAACAAAATCTGAGGTTTTGAACAGCTGTCACCACTTTGGCAGCGCTCTCCATTGTCAAATTTACAATGACTTATTACAGAAGTATTCAGAAGCAATTCCACCAGCACAGATTTCAGTTTTAGTGGCCTGTAACACCCCAAACCACTTCACTTCTTTTGGTAAAGAAAAAAATATAGTGTCATATTAGGGAAGAAACGGGAAAATGGCACTTGAATGCAAACAGTCCTACCCACAAAGAGAAGTAATTATACAACTGGCAGTCACAATTGGTGATGGTCTTTTAAAAGCAGACAGTTCTTCTTGGGTAGTGGAGGTGAGGGGTGGAAGATAAAAAAAAAATCAGGCAATTTTAAAATAACTTCATATTTTTGTAAGTTGGACTCAACAGGTTCCATCCTGCTAATGTAAGTGTTGTTTTGAATAAAAGCATGTTTGGAAAAAATCAACATGCAAGGAAAGGAGCAGTTTTGAACAAGATTAGTGAAAAATCCAGAATTACATGAAGAAAAGGATTGTTTGCTTTATGTCATTACAGATTGCCAGAGTACCTCAAGTTTTGGGCCTATATTGTTGCAGAATATGTATTCTGTACCTGAATAATGGAATTAATTACAGTCACGATAAGAAGATCTCTGTTTTCTTTCTTGATAATCGCATGCAATTAGTGACATAAAGATCTGGAAAACTGCCAGAATTGTAGTAACAAAATAAACCTAATTTCTTACATAATTTCCTGACTAGCACTTTCCCAGGCCACAGTAACCCTGCATATAGATCTGAAAACATTATCGACAGTTTTACAGAATAAAGCCCAGTACAATTTAGTATCTGAGAAAGGATGAAGTGATTAAAGTCAAAGTTTGAGGATACAGTGTCAGTGGAATGGTCAGAAGGGACATGTATTCCTAGATGTTTCTATAGGAATGTTGCAGTGTTCTTAGTGTGTCTGACTGAAAGGATTTCAAATTTTGCTACTCTTTGCCATTAGCAATTTTTGGCTTTTTCTATTGGACTTTTAGTGAGACTGATAACATAAAATAGTGAGCTTTGCATGCAGATGGAAAGGAACTTGTTTTGTAACAGATTGAGTTTTAGGAGTAGGGTGTGGGCAGAAGAAGATATGCATTGCTGGTTTAGTCTCAGACATGTGGTCAGATCCTTTTGTTTGAACCTCCCCACATTCTTCAGGATGTGAGTGGGAGTATTCTCCCATACATGAAAACCTGAAACAACTCCTGTGACTTCTCTTACAGTGAGACTCTGATATTACTGGTTTCTAAGAAAAGAATTTTAAGTTTATGTTTAGGTAGGACAGACATGGAGGTCTAAAAACACACGGTGAAGTACACAGGGCTTCTGAAATCTTCTGATGAAAGAACTGTGCTGTGAACCATGGCATGCAGGCTGCAGAATGGTGAGTAAAGGTGACAAGTTAAGGCTCCAGATTGGTAGTAGTTGTGTGCTGTGCCTTTAGCTTTCTAATGGAATGCCTGTGAAGTCAGGAAGATGAAACTTCTTCCATTTAATGGTATTTCTCTTTCATGGGAGCAGTGGTCATAGATGCAAGAGAGAATACAAGAGCCAGGGTGTGGCTTTCCTTGCCAGGCATGTGCATTGCTCTGTGTGGACACCAGCATTTGTGAGAGGGATACCCAGCTCCTTTGATCTGGCATGAGCAGTTCTGTCAGCTGCTCATTCCATTTCTCCCCTTTGGTAATGACAATAAATTTTTTCAAGAATTTTCAACTCCTATAAACTTGGGAAGGCCTACCTTTTTTACTATTATTATTGTTTTGGGTTTTTTTTTAATTTGAGTTACTTCTGTTCTCTTATGGGCTATAGAGTTGACTGTGTTTGTTTCCAACGTCTGTTCCACGGGGCAAGAAGTCACACCATGACTCTTGATGTAGGGATGCAGATTTTCTGGTACAATGTAATATCTGGTAGGAAATAGAACTCTTTCCACAGTATAAATTCTTAGGAACATGGAAAGTATAGTGAATATAGAAATATGAGCATCAAGGTGCCCATTCAGCCCTCATGCAATTATGAGGGAAGGAAATAGAACCCATTGAATGTGTCTTGAGTGCCTTTCTATTCATGTTAAAGCTCTCCTTTACTATTTATGTGTAAGTTGCCTAATAATTTATGCCCAGGTGTCTTCACAGCACTACAAGCAATCTTTTCACCAGGATTTAGGCACAGTCAGGAATGCATTAATGGATGACAACATCTCCTATTTTAGTAGGCAAATTTTTACCTTCTGCAACTAAAACACGAACCTTCAGAGGGAGAGAGGAAGCAAAAGTGAATAGCCCAGTTGAGACAACAGTTTGCTGCTGTTACTTTGGGGGCTTTATTGCAATTGTGAATTTAGGCTAATATACCTGTTGCTTAAAAAAACCAAACCCTCAATCACCTTCTCAACCAAATCTTAGTAGTGAGAGTGGATATATTAATTCCTCTTTCTTTCAAGTTCAGACAAACTGTTGACACATCACGGTTCAGTTGTAATACAGTTACAACTTGGCTGAACAAAGGGAAATATTTTTTTCTACTTGACTACTTAGCACACAAACTTAGAATGATTGGCAAAGCTGGAAAAAAAAAAGGTCTTTTAGAACAGCTTGTTTAGTAAAGAAGCAAGTGTAGAGTTTTACTTTACATTTCCTTAACGGACAAGGTTGGGGAAATCCCTTCCTATTGTTAGCATGACATGAGATCTTGTGTTTGAAGACTTGCAGAAAGATATCTCATGTGATGACTAATCTCACTTGTTTTTTCTATTTTTCTATCACCGTAACTGTGATGTTTGAGGACAGCTGGTGTCCTTAGAGCTGAAGACATCCTATGTTTGTTTGTTCCATATAAGTCTACAGACTGAGCCAGCAAGGATGGCAGTGAAGCTAAACTTGGAGCAGAGTCTTATTCCTGATGAACTGAGAACAGTTGGACTTTCAAGGTGAGTTGTCTTATGACCTTGGGCCTCCTTGAGCAAGGAGAGAATAGTTGTGCTTTTATCTGAAGAGAAAGATCTGCAATGAAGTCATGTTTTTGATTCAAATGGAGCAATGAAGCTCAGTAGCTTGACTATATGGACATCTGGATTAGAGGCAGAGATAATTTTGGCTCTCAATATTATTTCTCTATATTGAAAAGTTATTTTTAGGTAAGGTAAAGGTAAACAGGCCTTTTGGGAGCTCTCCTTTACCCTTATTTTTAATTGAGAGAACTATGCTGTGCACAGTGTAAGTTCTGCTTCCCATATTGCTAGTGAGTTTTTTTTTTTCTAATATTTCAGGTTTTTGCACTGAAAGTGAATTTTAACTGTTGAAGGATAATGTGGGATTTTCTGAAACTGAATAGGTAAACATATGCTGGGACTGTCTTTTTTAAGTGATCCCTTGTTTGCCACTAAGGAATAAGAGGAATCCAAAAAATGTTTTCCACTTAGCTGTAGCTGTCATGAATGCTAGAGGAGGTCCCATAAAGCAGCTGAAGGTATTTTATTCTATCAATTTGTCACACTAATCACTGTCTTGCTGAGAGGAGTTATTTCAGTAGAGAATGAAAGTCAGCTCTCAAGTGAGATGGAAATGAATGACATGAAGACATACCTGACTGATAATTAACTCTGATCGACAGGTGATCATGCACAATGTTATATAATATCATACGAATGTAATTTGAAGGCAGTGTATGGTGACTCACAAATTCTGTATTCTCAGCCTCTGTAAGGCATTGCCTTGAGTGATCCTTCTCCTCCTAGATGCTGAATTACTTAGGGTAGCAAAAGCACTCATTCCATTTCACAGCAGATATCCTCCTGGTTGTTAACTCCTGCATGTCACCACCTACTTCAAAAGTAAGTCTCTCAGTGACTCAAAGAAAAGGAAAGAGAATCTGGAATATTTTCCAGGAATATCTTGCATTCGGTGCATTTGCAGAATCCAAATTCCTCTAATGTGTATTTCAGAAGCACTTGCCAGTTGAGTCCTTCCACTGTGTTCACTGAGTTATTGTCACTGTTGATTTCAAAAGTCTTAAGGTTATTTCATGCACAAACAAATCATGCTGAGGTCAAAGTAAGTTTAATAACACTTCATGTTGATTTCTAAAATATAGGATTATTCTCCACGAATACTTGGCAGCTGTGAAGTATTTTAATGAACAGAGCCTTATTTCTCTATGACTATTAAAGCAAATAGTGTTGGTGAACATATGTGTTTGTATAGCTAGCAGACTTTCTGCACCTCTCTTTCAAGTACATTTTTTTTCTCAAGGGATGTAGCCTGGAGCTCATGGAATGATTTTGTAGTGTAAAAATGCCCAGCACTAGTTAGTGAAGGGTTTTCAAGTGCAAGTGCTCACAGCTGCAAAATCTTATTTCTGTAACTTTACTCTGGCTGTTCACTAGTAATGCATTAGCACCAAAACTGCAGCAGCAAGTGCTATTGTGAGGTTAATCCTACAGAACGCATAGGAAGGAGGTAAAATGTACGCCTACTCGCCACCATCTTTACAATTCAGGTTGATAGGGTAGGATTTGGGATCTCCTACCTTCCAGAAACAGTACTGATCATAGTGATAGTTGAAGTTGTCATACCTGACATGAGCAATAAATGAAGGCAGTTAGGTTTTACAAGGTAAATGAAACAATCCACCAGAGAACTTCTTATCTATGATTACTGCTGACATGATAAATGTTCCAAGAAGATCGGGAGCTGTTCCATTATATTTTTCTTATTTTATATATTGATAGGCTTCAAAAGCACACAGCAATTAGATAAATTGTCTATCAGTGCTCAAAGTGAGGGACTGATACAAAGCTTCCCAAGCCAGTTGAAAGACAGGTAAGACAGAGATTTAGATTGTAGCAAAAATGGCTGGAATTTCCAGCCTTAAGAAAGGCAAGACAGAAATCATCTATTGTTGAACATATGTAAATACATACAAAGGAAATGTTTAGTATTTAGAACACATAGGACAGTAAAGATGGTGCACAATTGATTATGTACATGTTCAAGGAATGTACAGATTTTGCAAGAATTCTAAGCAAGGAGCTTGCCAGTTCTTGTGACAAAACACTTTAATTTATTACATCCCCCAGATTAACTAACCATGAGGTGTTTTTTGTAGATTTTTAGAATGTCTATTGAATGTTACAGATTTCTGAATTGAAAAGAGACGAAGAAAAGTGTAGAGCTTATTGGAAGCAGACAGCATTGCAGCAGACAGCAGACAGCAAAATACTTGGTTTTGCTCTTCTAATCAATACATAAGATTTCTTAAAATCTGCCTAATATACTGTGAAATATGCAGTTCAATAATTTAGCATGCTTTTTGAAAATTTAGCACTATCCAATCTTTAATATTTTACTATCTGACTTGTATATTTGCTACATTCCTTTGCCTTTCCTTTGAGTTGAACATTGGTTTGTTACGTTTTACTTGTATAAAAAGTGTCAGTCTTCCATATACTTAATACATAAAATATTTCAATAAATAAAAGTTGAATTCAAAAGTGAAATTGATAGGGTAATAAAAACTGGCTGATCACATTACATATAAACAGTGCATTAAAGGCACTGTGAAAATGTGTGAGGCAAGATGAACATTACAAAGTCAAGGGCTACTCTGTAAAGCTGGGACACTGTTTTCAAATGTTGCATATCACAGAAAAAAACACTCCTCTGCATACTTCAAAAAGCCTCTTTATTCTTTCATCCCAAAGAAAGAATATAAATGAAATCCTTGCTGAACTAATAAGGCAGCCAAGAAAAAAAAATGCAAATTTTTGTTTAACCATTTAACATGCACAGGGAGATTAACTCAGTCCACAGGGCCTGGGGAATTAATCTAAAAAGCCTTCTGGAGACACTTTGGTTGGAGGGAAGAGAATCTGGCACAGGAGTAACTCCTAATGTGTCCTTAGCTGGTGAATGGCCTGTGACTCTCTTCTTTTTATTCCTGCAGTTCTGCACTGAATTGGAAATGTTACATCCCCAAGCCCAGATTTTTCTCTGATCCAAAAGGGGTGCTCAGAGGAGGGAAGAAATCTTAATGAGATTTAGTGCCTAGTCTGGTAAGTCTCCATGTGACTCTCTGCTTTGACCCAAACCTCCTACTTATTTCTGTGAAGGAACAAGCTTTCATATGATCAGGAACAAAGAGACAGATCTCTTCTATGCTTTCTTTTCGAAAAAAACCTCAAAGAAAATTAAAACCACACTTAATGTAATTTGTCCTGTGCCGGCAAAAGACTTCTGAGCAGAATAGGGAAAATAATAATAAAAGTATTTTGGTCTTGTTAGTTAAATGGCAAAGTGTGGACTTGTAGCAGAGGCAGGGCAGTTGTGTTAAGCATCACACTCCCTACAAAGCATGGTGGGGGTATTGTGATAAGTGAGCTGTGCAGAGCCAGCTCTGTACCCACTCCTCTGCTTTACTAGAATCCACGTGTCCATCCATGAGACAGAATCCTGATGCAGGCCAGAGGGCTGGGAAGAGCAGTGTGTATCCATCTGTTAATGGAGTCCATGCTCTCAGGGCCTGCTGCCTTCACTGCCTCTCCCCCCAGCTGCAGAGGCACAGAGCAGGGCTGGGTACATGAGCAGCAGCATTTGGCTGCTCCCTGGGGATGTTGGGGATCTTGGTCTCTCTGCACTGAAGAAACTGGACAAGGTGCTGTTGAGGGGGAAGGTTGCTCAGGCAGCACCAAGGGTTTTGAGTATTTGTTTTGCTCGTTTCTAAAATTGGTCCTGACTCCAAAGCTAAAAGCTTTTTAAGCAGCTGCAGAAATCTACAGTCTTTAGCTCACAGCCTAGTCTGTCATTTTGTGTTACATCATGCACTATTCCAGGAGGTATCAGGCAGCAGCAGAGAACTGCCTATGATTTCATAGCACAGTTGATTTTCTAGCTTAATTTCTCATGGGACCTTTAAGGGAATGGAAAGCCACAAATAAAAATGAAGAAATTGAAATATATTACTAACTCTAAACTGCAGTATTTATTTGGATTAATAATATAAAAAATTGCTGACAATCCTTTATACTGGATTTGATTTTGGTTCTGCAGTGAGACTTTTGTTTTAGGACAGATAAGAAGTTAGAACTGATCAGACTTTCAAGGACTCACTGCTGATTCAAAAGATTCCTGCTTTCCAGTGTCACCTTGTTGTTAATTTGGGAAATTTTGTCCTGAGGGAAATTAGCTATAATGTTTTAACTGAAGAGGATTTCCTCTCTGAGGGAGGTGATACTATGGAAGTTCTCTAATTGTTCCAACAGGTTTTAAATTTTCAGTCTGTATAAAAGGTGTGATTTGAAATCAAAGCCCACTTTTCATCTTGAAATACCTTATTAATGGGGTAATTAAATACCCCAAGTTCCCCAGATGTAAACACAGATTGAAGCTATTGAAACACAAAGATTTTTCATTTTTTAAATTCTGAAGGAACAGTCTCAACTCATTCTAAGGCCTGTATATAAAGCTGTCTGGCCTTTTTGGACTCATTAAACTTTGGAGTAGATCAAAGGCGTTCTCTCTGATGTAGAGGTTCTGCTTACCTCTAATAACATGTTTATCCCATTGTCCCAAGTCAAGGAGTGTATGGGGACTCTGCTGGAGGAACATCCAGCCTAGTTTAGTTCCAGATGCAGCCTAACTTTGGAAGTCAAGATCTTTGCAGTAGTTAATCTTGCCTTCTTTGGTGTTAAGGAAAGTGAACTATTTTAGAGTATCCTGCTACAAACAGTTGCCTCAGGACAACCAAAAGATATGTTGTGATGAGAGGATGCAGGAATGCTCTGAGTGGGCATTGCCTGATGTGGGAATGGGAGAGCAATTGTTTTGACTTCATATTCCCGTGAAACTGTTGTGACACTGTGTGCCAGTTCAGTAACTTGGTCCTCCTTTAAGTTATACTCATTCTCAAATTATACTACTAAAAGTAAGCATTTTCTGTTGACTCAGTTGTTAAGCATACTCACACACGGTTGTGAATAAAATTGATTTAACTGATAGGTCAATTTATTTTTTGAGGAGGATTTGGGGGTGCTGGTGGATGAGAGGCTGGATATGAGCTGGCAATGTGTGCTCACAGCCCAGAAAGCCAACTGTGTCCTGGGCTGCGTCACCAGCAGTGTGGGCAGCAGGTGAGGGGTGGGATTCTCCCCCTCTGCTCTGCTCTGGTGAGATCCCATCTGCTGTGCTGCCTCCAGCTCCAGGACCCCCAGCACAGGAAGGATAAGGAGTTGTTGGAGCAAGTCCAGAGGAGGGACACCAACTTGTTTAGAGGGATAGAGCAGCTCTGCTATGAGGAAAGGCTGGGAGAATTGGGGTTGTTCAGCCTGGAAAAGAGAAGGCTTCAGGGTGACCTAATTGTGGCTTTTCCAGTAACTGAAGGAAACTTAGAGGAAAGATGGAGAGGGACTTTTTACAAGAGCATGGAGTGATAGGACAAAGAGGAAATGGCTTTAAAATGAAAGAGAGTAGGTTTAGATGAGATATTAGGGAAAATATTCTCTACTGTGAGGGTGGTGATGCAGTGGCACAGGTTGCCCAGAGAAGCTGTGGATGCCCCATCCCTGGAAGTGTTCAAGGCCAGGCTGGATGGGGCTCTGAGCAACCTGGGTGGGTGGAAGGTGCCCCTGTCCATGGCAGGGGGTTGGAACGAGATGATCTTTAAGGTCCCTTCCAACCCAGGGCATTCCATGATTCTATGAAGCACTGCTCCTGCTCTGATCTGGACTGGTGTTGTGCCACATTCCGATCACGAGCTGGCCTGCTCTGCCTGTCGTTCGGCGGGGCAGGGCCTGGAGCCGCCGCTGGAGCGGGAGCGGCCCCGGCCCGTCCCCTCAGGCCCTGCGGGGGCCGGTGCCGCCACCTGGCGGCTGAGCCGCGTCAGTGCCCGAAGGGGCCGAGGGGCAAAGCTGGTTCCTATAAAACCCAGCTCGAGTTACAGTTGTTTCTCTTCTTTTTCCACCACCCCCAGGCTTTGCAGCTGCTTCTGTTTCGGCTTTATGAGGTGACAAGCCAAACTGTCCAACAAAACATCACTGAGTTGTCACTTCTGCCCATGGCAGATGCCTGAAAAGGTCAGACAATTGCCTCCAGTTAGCGCATTGATTTCTTGTGTTTCATTGAAGTTACCTACTTTTGTCATGAAAATGTTCATAATCAGATGGAGAAGAACATGAGTCCTTCCTACTGGAGTGTTGGTAGATGCTGGAGCATGTCCAGAGAAGGGCAATGAAGGTGGTGAAGGGTCTGGAGCACAAGACTTAGGAGGAGAGGCTGTAGTAGGCAGCTTATAACTGATCAAAATTATAAAGGAGGCTCAGGGCAGACCTTATTTGTCTTTACAACTACCAAAAGGATGTTGTAGCCAGGTGGGTGTTGGTCTCTTCTCCCAAAAAACAAGTGACAGGATGAGAGGAAACAGCCTCAAGTTGTGCCAGCAGAGGTTTAGATGGGATATTAGGAAAAATTTTACACTGAAAGGGTTCTCAAGCATTGGATCAGGCTGCACAAGCCATAACATGCTAGAAGTCTTTTGATTTCTGCTGTCACCATTACTTGTCATTAAGAAAACTCCACAGCCTCAGTTAGGGCAATATTTTTAATTGCTTTTTCCATTTGAGAAGTGGAAAACTGCTTAAAGGAAAAAGGAATGGCAATGTTTCCTCCCCTCTAGCTACAATACTCTTCTATGACTCAAAATCTGTCTCTGCAATTACCCAATGCAGATTAATTTCTCCTCTCTGTCCCCATATCCCTATCTTTACAATGGGATAATAACCCCTTTTTATTTTTTTTGTGGTGTTTTTTGTTTGTTTGTTTTTATCATAGGATACCATATATGTCTAAATTTATACATCACTTCCAGATTAGTTAAATAATGTTATTAGGAAAAATGACCAAAGGGAAAAAAAAGAAACCAAAACAAAAAACCTGGAAAACTTTACTCTGAACATTGAAGGAAAAAAGTAGTGGATGAAACGGCTCAGAGAAGGAGGGAGTTTCATGCAGAAGACAATTGATGGAGAGATGGCTGCTTTGTGTGAACTTGAATAATTTTGGTTGATTATCTAGTTTCTCTTAAGACCCTGATTTAAACTGTTGCTGTTCATATTCTGTCACTAAGAAGCTGAATGAAGTAGGGCTCAGATACTTCCTGCCCCCTCCTCTAACAGCTGCTGTTAGACATGAAAAGTTTTAGCTCAACTGTAGCATTGCTAAGAAAAATGTGACCTCTGAGCTGGAAGTGCTGTGCTTTTGAAGAGAATGTTCTGTGACATGGAAAGAAACATTCTTTTTATATTTTGCTGCTTAAATGGTAATCTGAAATAGTCTGGAACTGTGCAGATTTACAATGAGCCTGAAGTCTTAAAGTCTTGTCTACTTATAAGGCTTCAAGTCAGTGTATTACCAAATTCAATCTGTTATGGTTAAATTGCATTGTGCTATTCGAAGGTGTGTTGGCTTTTAGGAATGGGTTTTGTGTTTGGGTGGTGGCTTTTTGTTTGTTTGGGGGTTTGGTGGGTTTTATGTGGGTTTGTTTGGTTGTTTTTGTGGTTGTGCTGGTTTTTGTGTTTTGTTGTTTGTTTGTTTGTTTTCCGGTTTCGTTGTTGTTGTTTGTGTGTGTGTGTATGGGGGTTTTTTGTTTGTTTTGGTTTTGGTTTTTTTTTCTTCTCCACAGAATGAAACAAGAACCTTTCTTGGTCCTGCAGCAAGTGTGTTTTACCTCTGTGTCAGCTGCCTTTCTCCTAAAGAGTCAGGGAAGGCTGGAGGGTTCGCCCTTAAGTTTAGAAAGGGACTGATGGAACTCTCGCAGAGATTTTTTTCGGAAATCTCTGGAAAAAACAAACAGCACTTAGCAGAAAATACTATTTACCAGGGTATCTCCTCCCCTAAGCCAGTGTGGAGTTTAGGGGTGGCTTTGGAGGGACACCTGCTTGGCTGGGGCTTAGTTTTGGCACCAGCGGGTGCTGGAGCTCCTGGACCGTTCCCAGTTTGTCCCGAGCGCCGCCGGACCGGCCACTCCCCTCCTGCCTCAGCCCGTCCCCTCAGCCCTATCGCGGTGCCGGGGCGGTGCTGCCGGACCGGGCGGTGCCCCCTAAGCCCCATCCCAGTACCGGAGCGGTGCCCCTCAGCCCCGCGGTCCCGTCCCGGTGCCAGGGGGGTGTCCCCTCAGCCCTGCGGTCCCGTCCCGGTGCCGGGGCGGTGTCCCCGCGGTGCTGCCGGGCTGGGGCGGTGCCCCCGCTCTGACGGGATCCGGCGCGACGGCGGCCGCGCCATTTCCTGCGGCGGGGCCGGGGATGGCGGCGCAGGACGTGCTCGGTCAGACCGCCCGGCTGGCCTCGTCCAGCGCTCTGCTGCAGGTGCGGGGTCTCCTCAACCCTTCTCCTTCTCCTCCTCCTGCTCGGCCGTGCCCCGCAGGTGTTTCCCGTGAGGCTTCTTCCACAGGTGCTGTTCCGGGTGGTCACCTTCGCGCTGAACGCCTTCACGCTGCGCTACCTCTCCAGGGAGCTCATCGGCGTGGTCAATGTCAGGTGAGGAGGAGGAGGCTGAAGAGCCCCCGGGCAGGCGGCCCGTGCCCCGCATCCGACCCGCTGGTCCCCGGACATCCTTGAGGCATCCCCAGGCGGGCTTTGGGACGATGCTTGTGGGTGCTGGCTCTCGGCTTTGTGGTGTGTATAGTGTTGCTTGTAATGCTCTGCATAACGCTGTTTAATCTACTTTTGGGTTTGATCATTTAATGCTTCCACAGTTCTGTTTTGCCCCGAAACACTGGTAGCACTGGCCTGTTTTCCATGTTTAAACCATCACCTTGCAAAGGAAAAGCCAGACACAACATGCTGTTCCCATAGGATACACCTTATCTCTACATTTTTGGTTTGTACCATGTATTCTTGCCTTTTGAGTAATCACGTGTAATTACCTCTTTTTATTTATTTTTTTTTTTTGGGAAGAGGTGGTAATTTAGCTCATATCACCATGTTTGCATACCTGTTAAGATCTGTCTGTCTGTCATGCAGTCCTGTGATGCTACTGCATGAAGGATTTCTGTAGTATGTAAAGAAATAGTTTTCTCTTCTTTTTTTTTTTTCCTTCTCACCTCCTTTAGGCTGACTCTGCTGTACTCCACAGTTGTCTTCCTCGCCAGGGAAGCATTTCGCAGAGCTTGTTTGAGTGGAAGTACGAAGAGAAACTGGACCAAAACAATTAATCTCTTGTGGCTGACGTAAGATACCTCTAAAAGTTTACTTCTTTAGAATTTATTTCTAATTCTTGTCTGAGAACTCACAGAATGAGAGGAAGTGTTTATTTACTAAGGTAGTTATTTTAGCACTGAGCATTTAGAAGCCATAGTCATGTTTGAGGACTGATGCAGGAAGCTGGTCAAGACTGTTGTTTTAGCATTTATGGGCTAGATTTCTTTTTGGAGCATGTGGGAAAGTGCATTGCCAAAGGTGTTATCAGGAGCCATTTGTTCTGTTGCTTAACCAGGGTTTCATTTACATTGTAGCTGTTGGAGGAAAACCCTGTTGCACAAATACAAAGTCATTTTTTTTTTCCTTCCTTTGCTTACTCAGTCTTGCTCTTATATTACCTGATGCACATTTGTGAATCTGCTTTAGATATCTCCCCCCTCCCCCGATCAAGTTTTTGTTCTTGAGCCCTGATGTTGATTAATGGCAGGCAGCATAAATATTTGGGTAGGAGAGGTGTGAAAAGGTGAAAGAAAGAGTCGTTGGAATTAAAAAACAGGGAGGAAGTAGAACAACTGCTTTCAGCTGTTTATAGCAGAACAGCTTAAAGTCCACGTGATGCTGCAGCCAGTGTGTAATCACACTTTGCAGCAAAGTGAATTTTATGACTTGTTTCTCTGTTCTGGCTCCTGGACACATTTTCGCTTCCTCTGCTCTTTCCCTCTGTCAGCTGTAGCTGCTGTACAGCCACAATTAAGTGGGTTGGGAAGTAAATTTACTAGCCTGATATGGTGAGAGACTACCCCTGCATGATAAAATGGTACATTAGGGCATTCTAATGAGTTTTTCTGGAACCGCCCAACTATTACTTGGCTCGGGCCCAGAAGTGAGGGGTTATTTATGGTCATCTGCATCCAGATATAAAGAAGAGAGATTGTCTCCTTCAGGGATAGGTTTAATACTAATATTTAAAATGCAATAATTCTGTTCTCTTAACTGTATTATACTCAACTTTCTGCTATGTGACAGTCTTTCAAATGGGCTTTAAATGACAGAAATAACATTAACTGTGTGCATCTGTTTTTGATTTAAATTTTTCCTTGTAGAGAAGCGTAACTTGAAACGAAAGGCAGCTTTCATAAAGCATCTGAAATATGTCTTAGGAGATGGATGTCATGTACCTTAGGGGGTCTGATAATATGAGGGTCAAATAGATCTTGCTCCAGTGATGTAAAACTTTGTTCACTCTGCCAGAAGCTCCGTGTTCCTGAAGCAGTGTCAGCAGAAGGGAATGCATGTCTGCTCTCCTGTGCCTGGCCTGGTTTTTAGCTGCACTCCTGATGGAAGTGGCTCTGAGCTACAGCAGAGCACAGTGAGTTGGCACACTGAGGGGCACACAGGCATTTCCTCATGCTCACTTTGGTGTTGCTCTCTGGAGAATCAGTGATTTCTGGAAGAGTGAAATTTGCAGTTGGAGTGGTGGCATCTTTATCTGTTAGAGCAAGATCCATCAAAGCTTGTCCGACAAACCCCTGGTAAACACGACTGTAAATTTGCAGCAGTGAGAATTTGTGGTGTTCTACAGGCTGATGTGGGATGTCAGAATTTTTTGGTCCTAGGGCACAAGAATGCAGATATTTGACCTTATGGGAGGCTCTTAAGTAGAAAACACACAAGTGAGGAAAACATTTTTTGTGTTTTGCAAAGAGTGACATAAAGATGTTCATTACAACAAAAAAGAATGCATTCTTGGTATAGTAATAACAAATTATTTCGTTGGGGTCTTTGTTTTTGTAATCATTGTGGCCATATGTGACGTTGTGATCTAATTTTCTTTGGTTTTTTTTTTCCCTGCTGAAGTAACACTTGTATTAATTAGTTTTTATGTTAACTTTTTAGAGTCCCTCTTGGTGTTTTTTGGTCTGTTTTCTTGGGCTTAATCTGGCTACACTTGCTCGAAGTCCCTGATCCTTCTGTGGTTCCTCATTATCAGGCTGGTGTGGTGGCATTTGGCCTCTCTGCAATTATTGAACTTCTGGGAGAACCGTGCTGGGTTTTAGCACAAGCTCATTTGTTTGTGAGGCTCAAGGTTAGTAAAGTACATGGGGTGTATGCATGTGGGGG